CACACACACACACACACACACACACACACACACACACACACGGTACAGCCCTGTGATCTAAATCCCTCATCTGTTAACCTCATCATTATTTACCCATCGGCCAACAGGCCTCGCACACTTGCTTTAAATATAGCTTTAGAAATTCCTGATGAAACTGAAATATAGGTTTCGCAGGCCGTAGCGTGCAGCTCCCCTGCAGCCACATAAGGCAAGAGTCTCTTTCCAATTTACGACAGGCAAACAGAAAAAAGGCGGATCGAGCTCCAAGTGCGTCCTGACTTCAGGATCCAATTAACCAACAGTGCTGAACAATAAACGAAATACTGTGCATACCTACCGTTCCGTATAACCTCCCACGGCTGTTCATTGCGACAAACAGCTCACTCTTCACTCCATATAGGCTCACCACTCCTCTCTCCACCGTCGAGATCTCTATTAGACCTGATACATGACAAAGATGCGTTACGTTAGAGTGAGCAGTGAGTGACATACCAAAGGAGCATCCTGGCTAAGTGCGTGCGTTTTGCCACTGTAGCATTGTGCTTTCTCTGCGTCTATGGGTGTAACCTTGCAGGTTGCTGCGCAGCATGCCGAGCCTTTGTTCTGCATCTTTCACCCCATCTTCCATTTGCATCCAGGCGCATTAATTAAGCGCATTGTGGTTATCGCAATAATAGCTGTCCTAATTGCACGGCGTGCACGGCTATTGGTCTCCCGGACCGCCCTCAGAGGGCTGCGTAAAAATAAGTTGTGTCTAAAAGCGTCCATACATTCGTGACATGGTTGAGCTGGAGGAGGAGGGGGGAGGAAGAGGGGTTTTCAGTACTGATGGATACGTGCTTTAACAGATTTGTCTTTGCCGTGGAAGAAATTCAGTTCTCTCCCCGACTCGGATGAGACGCGATCATGCAAATGAATAGAGGGGATAGACTAGCCTGCTCATCGCAGATCCATGCTTATTGACCGTCTCTCTTTTATGTCTATTGCATTACATTGGTGGAGATATAACTCACTGTACTGGTTTTCATTATGTACACCGTTTATCCTGCCGTCGGGGAGGATCTGAAGGTGAAACCCGATGCCCACGTTGCAGTAGAGCCTCCGCACTCTTTTGATGCCCAGCAGATAGTCACTCTCCCAATTCAGCTCCGGTTTCTCTCCGGAGATCCCGAGCACAGAGCGCGAGAAGAGAGTCTCCCATCGTTTCTCCAGTAAAGTTGCATTTGTCCTGCTGCTCGGTAAAGGGTACGCTGACACGATCCCCAGCAGAAAGCCCAGGAGAACCACTGCGGTCAGCGTCCAGTGCGGCGTGCCGGCCTCGCAGGACATACTGACGAGGAGCCTTTGCGCAACGGCCATCCGGTTTACCTTCGGGCCACGTGGTCAAAATTAATGACCCTAAAAATACCGCTCTTCTTGTTTTGCTTCCTTCGGCATGCTGACTGAGGGTTATTTTTGGAGCACAGATCAGTGCTTTGGGCATGAAACGCAAGCCCCGGTGCAGACGAGGAGAGGAGACGGGAGAGTGCGCGGCAGAGCTGGAGGTGATGGTGATGGTGATGTTGGTGGTGGTGGTGGTGATTACCATGTTTTGCAGCTCCCCCGCGCCCCTCTCTCTCACACACTCACTCACTCTCTCTCTCCCTTTTCTGACAGCCTCTCTCTCTCGGTAAGAGTTCAGAATATTGCGCTCACCAAAAACCCTTCAACCTCGCCAAGACTATCGCATCCCTAGATGACATCATGCTGACTTCACCCGCAGGGTTATTGCAAAGGCAGAAAAAACAGCAGGTCTGTGGAGATGTGAGGGGGATAGCTGCTGTTTCTGCCTAACTGGAAGAGAAGAAAGCTTATTGGCGTTCCGCGGTATGGGACGCGACGGGGCACTCGGGCTGCTCCCAAATTGGGTCGGTGGTCATATGTCTACCCGATCGCTTCCTTATTTAGAAGGAAGGTGTAAAAACAGGCCCACTTGTCACCGGAGAGCAATGACAGGGCTCTTGTGCTGGTCGCTCTTCTTTCCTGCCACGTTTAAGACTTTTCCCCAGCAAATCTAGGCTTTTTTAAGCCTAAACTGAAATGTCAGCTGGGCCAGAGAGCCAGCGGGGAGCTCGCACCAATCAACGGCAAAGATCAAGGTTCAAGCCTTCAGTGCAGGCTAGCATCCGCCCCCCTGACCTTGAACAAGACACTGAGCGCCTCTGAACTCAACAGCACGACCGGGTAACGGAGGCCCAACGTGTCATTTTAATCATGTCAGGTTTTTCCACGTATACCCTAAGCCGTGCATTTCTCACGGCGCATTCGTGAGAACTACGAGGAGCACTGGAGAGGCCCGTCACGAAACGGCGCACATTGTCGGCGTGCCATTCCGTGTAACATGAAAGCCTATCGTCTTTTCCATGTAATGGATAATGCCACCAACAGTATGTCCATGCGTCAGTGAGCCCAACGCAGCTGCGCACCAACAGCTCTCTCGCACACATCAGTTCCCCAAGATTTCCAAAGGATGGCACCATTTCCAAGTTCATTTGAAGCGCTCATGTAGAGTCTTTAAGCTTCGGCTTTGGCAGAATTGTGGACGCTGTAAACGGCTCATTTAAATAAATGATCCAGAATGTGTTTCAGATTTAATTCAAGAAACGCTTCTGACCTCTGTCATGTAATGTTTGATTTTTAAACGCTGTCGCATGAAGGACCAAAGACACCACCTCATTGAAAATGCAGATCTTTTATTTTGTATAAAATCTATTTGGTAACTGCACATTTATACACAGCCTGACAGGTGTACAGTGAAAATGATATAAACTCTGAAATAAGTAGCTGAAGTCATGTGATAAAACAGAAAATCAAAAACAACTTCTGGCCTTAAATCACTAAGTCACTTTGTTTTAATACAAGGAGAACATCTCCACTCATCCAGTTACAGACAACTGCAGTGAACGGAAAGTGTTTATTGACCACTGATGAGACGTATGACCCCGACGAATCGCTGCTGACAAAGGACACGATTTCTTAAATGAACCATGAAAACAGAAAAGGAAACTCAAACCATGTCGCTTGTGTAAAGGGCATAACAGACATCAGCAACGAGCTCTGCAGTGTCCCCAAAGCCAACAGAGGGGGTGAAATGGGTAATATTAAAATAAATTACAGCTTTACGAATGCTTCTATAACACATCTATACAAATAATTCATTTTCACAGAACGAGCCTTCACCCCTGCACCTGTGACAGATGCCGAAAAAAAAAGTCCAATAGTTTTAATACATGCTATATTGTAATAAAAGCATAATAAATAAATACATATGTACGAAACATGTTTGGAAAATGTACAGGCACTTGTAAAACAACATTTGAGTTAATGCTAGACATGGAGGATAAGTCGATTGCTTGGCAGTAATGTCAACATGACAAATTCTCTGGTCTTCCATGCAGGAAATAGGATCCTTCTGTTGTACCAACTGAACAGTTTGTGTAGGATCAGAAAAGAAGGACTCAACACAAATTCTCAGCAAGAACTGACACAAACATGGATTCTTCATCATTTGGCCAAGATGATGCTCCGTGATGTAAAGCATTATTCAGGCTACTCTTTCCTCTTGCTGTCAGTGCAGCAAGAGGAGAAACAAAAAACTGCATTTGAGTCATACCAACTATTACTCTCACACTTACTCATGACTTCTTGCAATCTGTCCTCCATGTTATGCATACATACAAACACGCACGGCCTTCAAAGCCCTTGCTTGCATGATTTTCAGTAACCAAATGTTGACATGCACTGCATAACTTTTTGGGAGATGTTTTCCAGAACGGTTGCTATGACGTGGGCATCCATAAGACATCACTCTGCGTGTTTACCGTTCACGTCTGGGATTATATAACAAGCCCATCTGGATGTCCTAGATTGTCATTTTAAAAACAAAACTTAAACGGGGCTTAGGCAACGGGGAAAGTGTGTTATTATTACTCGACAGGATAAGCAGTCCACTAGTCTAGATTACCTCTCTTGATTATCTACACAAAGGACATTTGATGCGATATTCCCATTCAGCTGAACAGCCTAATTGCTAAATCATCACAGTCAGAAACTTCACTTCAGCACGTTGCATAACAAATTCCCATAGGGATTATACAGTAAAAATGTATGCAAATATTCGCAGTAAACAGCACTAAAAGATGGCACTAGACGTGGAAGGGAGGGATAAGAGGAGACTCAGAGTATAGCTCACTGACTGCTGAAAGAAAAAAAGGTCTCCTAATAAGGCTTTGGGCCAGAACAGGCCTTGGCATTGCCGCTCCAAATCTTTGGAAATATACAGCAGGAATGAAACACCCTGACAGTGCACGCGATTGCCGTCTACCACTGGTACAAAATTTCCCATAGGTGTTAAATAAGGATGAGATGCTGTGACTGAAGAAAATGAGTCACATTTTCACCTTTCGGTGACTCCCACATGCCATCGTCCTCCTGGACGTGACCAATCCCAGGAGGAGAAATGGATACTGATGGCCCAACAGAACTACCACATCCCCATATGTACCCCACCTACGTATGGAGTTAGTTTACTTATGGTGGAGACTAGACAAGTGTAATGACGAAAGAACATTTGACAGAAAAAAGGTCGATTATAAAGTAGAAAGATGATGACATTTAGCAGGAAAGGACGGTCTAATAAGAGATCATACAGAGTTGGCAAGGCTCTCAAATTAATGAATAAAGTAGCATATTTCTGAAGAAACCAATTTGTCTGTTCTGCCATCTTGCATTAGACTGACGACTCCCCACACTCACCTAATTTAATTTTAAATGTCATTATGTAAGATGACCATTATGGAAAATGCCTTAGTGACAGTGAAGACGAGTGAGCAAAGACAAAAACCGACTGCACTGTGTAAAACTGTAGCTTAAGATAATTAAAAAATACGATTCAGAAAAGTTAGTTGGTGTATTCGAGGTTGACGGGTTGTACAGTAAATCTGTTTGAAGGTACCTGAGGAAAAAGGTGGACAGAAATTATGCCGTGACAGTTTTAAAGAGACACGTCTGTTGAATTCAATAGGTTTCAGTACACACTGTACCTCATCGGACCTGAGCAGGTGGTGACTCTTCTGGTAGCAGATAATTCCTGCTATAACACGGCAAACGGCTCCTGACTTTATCTTCGGTAAGCCAGTTTCAGACGCCACACGCTAACAGATATACCTTAATGCAGAGTGTCGCTGAAAGCAAAAAAATGTTACTAGCAAAAGGCTTTCTGGGAACAGTAGTGCAGCGAGTACCACTCGTGGAACCTGAAGGGTTGATTATTGGCGATCCCATCACTCAGTTTCTGAGGTCCTTTTGGTCAAAGACAATCTGACTGGCCAGGTAGATGGCGACAGCTCCAAAGATGGCAGAGCAAGCGATATAGGCAGTGACGGACTGAGCAAACTGAACAATCATGCCCATGAAGAGGGTGGGGAAAACCTGAGAGAGGAGAAAGGTGCTGTCTAAGATGGCAAAGTCCAAGCCCACACCGCGTTTCTCAAAGCCCGACTCGGCTTCGTCCTGCTCGGGGACGTTGGAGCTGTGAGACGAACCGTTTTGACTTTGCGGGCCGGGGTAGTACTCGTAACTGTCCTGGCTGAACAAGGCGTGCCTGTAAGGAGGCCCCGTTTGGTGGTTCAGTCCACCCTCCTCTTCCACAGGAGTCAAATACACAGAGTCCCGCATGGCTGTTACACCGTTTTTATGTCTGCTCTTGGTTATTCTTTTTGGCATGTAGACCTGAAATGAGAAAGGAATCATTGACTGTAATCATCTACAACATGTCTTTGAATATCCAGTTCTTACTTCTACACTTACCTCTATCTCCTTGTGGTAATGGCAGGTGAGTGTGTAAGGGAGGGTCTGCAGTGTCGCGTATGCATAGCCAGTGAGAGCTGCCATTACAGTGACCAAGACGACGCTTTTGGACAGACAGATGACCAAAGCTGAAACTGTGAAGCTCACCATGCTGCTCAGGTAAACCCACCGGGATCCCAAATGCCGAACCAAACGACTCATAACCAGAGAGAAAAAGGTTGAGGTAGCACACTGCAGGAACAGGCCCATGCTGCCCATACGGATTCCTGAAAGAAACAACAGCGTCCAGAAAGTATAAGAACGAGCAAAACGAGTGAAGGACGATAAAAGATGGATTTATATCATCAGCTGCAGTCGAATATTCTGCACTGACTCCTTCTAGAAAGCATTCTAGTGAAAAAAAGTGCCTTGGAGTGACGTTTGCTGAACTCTGCAGCACGGACACCTAGTTTGGTCCGACTAATCGTTACGCAGCATCAAGTTTAGAATAATGCTGAAAAGAGACACACACAGGCTGACCCAAGGCATGGGCTGTTTGGAGGGGGTGTCACAGGCTGACCAACAGCAAATCTTACTCACTATTGTCAAAGTTCCTGAATCCTTCCTTAGTTATGCTGCAATAGGTGCAGGCTGCTGGGGGGTTCTGGGTGTTTCTTCTTCACTCACTATGTGTTAATAGTAGTGCTGTCAGCGTTAATCTCGTTAAAATGACGTTAACGCCATAACCGCATTAATTAATTCAATTCAATTTTATTTATACTGTGCAAAATCACAACAACTGTCGCCTCAAGGCGCTTTATATTGTACAGTAGATCGTACAATAATAGATACAGAAAACCCAACAATCATATGACCCCCTATGAGCAAGCAATTTGGCGACAGTGGGAAGGAAAAACTCCCTTTTAACAGGAAGAAACCTTCGACAGAACCAGGCTCAGGGAGGGGCGGGGCCATCTGCTGTGATTGG